ACCTTAACTCACCACTTTGTCAGTGTAACCACCCCCGGGCTCCCCGCACTGCACCCCTGCTCATCCCAGTCTCCTCCGTCACCCCTGCCAGGCCTGGGGTCCCTCTGTACCACAGCGGTACCTGCCCCAGCCACGCTCCCCTCTGCTCCCATTGCCCACCTCGGTCCTGTCCCTGCAGGGCTCCCCCACAGGGTCCCTCTGCTGCCCCATCACCCCTCTTTTGCTGCCACCCACCCCAAGCACCCCCAGGGACCCCTGCACAGCATCACCTGTCCTGGGCCCTGCACCGTCCTGTGCCCTTGGGCTTTGCCTGTGTGTCCCCTCCACTCTCTGCTTCCTCTGTGTGCTGCTCCTAGGGACACCCTTCCCTAAGCCCCCACCCCGTGTCTTGGCAGCCCTGTGCTCTGCCCGTGGGGTCCCTCCCTGTGCCCTGCACCTCTGCAGCACCCCAGCCCTGTGCCCCTCCTGAGGGATGCTGTTGTCATCTCCAGGCTCAGACCCAGCCCTGGGGAGCATCTCTGGTGCTGCCCTCCGCCCTTCCCTGCACCCCCTGCCAGTGCTTCTCTCCTCTATCATCCCCCCCTCCTGGGGCTCCCTCCACTACCCTGACCTGCACCACAGCCCACGTGCATCCCTCGGGGGCACCTTCACTGGTCTCTGCCCCAGTCACACCAATGGGACTTCTCTCCCCTCTCTGCTGGACACACAGTCCCCCCTTTTCTAACCACCCCAAGGCTGCAGCCCGTTATGGTCCCCTGCCTGCTCCCGCCAGCTCTTGCAGCTTTGGGACTGTTCTTTGTGCTCTCCTGTCCCCATTCCCCTCCCAAGTTCTAGCTCTGTGGGGACAGCCCTGGGAAGCACCAGTGCCTGTAGCCTGGGCTGACATCCCCATCTTCCCCTGGGGTCCCTCAGCAGTGTCCCGGGGCTGTCAGGGGTCCCCTTCTCCTGCCACAGCTGATGACTGTGATGGTGACATCTCCGAAACGCTCCCTCCCTCCCTCTGCTCCCTTGCCCCCCTGCCACAGCGGATGACTGTGATGGTGACATCTCCGAAACGCTCCCTCCCTCCCTCTGCTCCCTTGGCTGCTTGTCAGACCCAGCTCTGCCAACGTGCAGTGAAAGATGTGGAAAAATACCGGAGCCCTGTATCCTCGATGTCCCCGTGCCCCCCAGCCTGCTGCAGCCAGAGCCAGCTGACCCCACCCCCCCTTCCCCAAACTTGTGTGCCAGGACTCCTGTACACTCCTTGGGGAGCTCAGTCTCCGCGTGCCCCTCACATGATCCCCCCAGTGTAGGCAGCCTCCAAAGCCTGTGCCAGGCACAGGCATCATGCAAGGCTGCTGAGACCCATCCTCTGAGCAAACCCCCGGCTCAGACTGCCCCTGCCCTGCCGGTCCCCTCCGCACCCCTGGAGGGACATGTCTGGACCTGCCTCCCTCTCCCCATGCAGACCTGATCCTGCCCTCCCTTCACACTCCATGCACAACCACGCAAGGGAGCCTCCCCACAAAGGGCAGTGTCCTCATTTCTGTATAGCCTGGGTGCTTCCTTTATGTGCTCTTGTGAGCACGACCGCCCCGGAGAGGAGCCAGCTCTTCCCTTCAGGTGTGTGTCCAGCTGTAGCAAGTCAAGCTCTTTCCGGCAGGGACAGGGGTTTCCTGCTCCCCTTTGTCATGTTGCGCACCTTGAAGAGGTGGCACGGCTTGGAGAAAGCTCTTGGGTGGCCCCC